CCTGCCCTTCCCACCTGTTATCCTGACCTCTGGCTTTACCGGGAGACCACCCACCCGTGTCCTACCCTTCAGCTGGCGCTCCCTAGAGCAGCACGCAGGAAGGACCAGCTCTCTCCAGCTGCCCATGTGCCCAATCTCCAACCCGGAGCCTATTTCCTATCCACAATCTTGGGGGCAGCCCCTGTGGAGGGGTACTGGTGGTGATGAGGGGGACTGGTTAATAACAGGTGCTTCTTAGACCGCCCCCCCCAGTGTCAAGTCTCTGTGCCAACCTCACCTCCCGCCTTGCTCTACCCCAGCACCACCAAGACACTACTCTGGAGCCCAGCCCAGCTCCTGGTGTGCTTGGCACTCAGCCCAGACTGTGGGCACAGGTGAGCTGGCTGGCTGGCAGGGAGGTAGGCAGGCAGGCAGGGCCCTGGGGCCACTGTGCCATCCTTGACTTCCTCCCTGGACAATCTGACACGCGAAGCGATGGACGAAACACACACTCCTTCCTTATACTTGGCTGGAATTCACTCCCACAAAGCAGGTCCCCACTTGACCAAGGTGAAACTGGGGTGGGGGTGGGGCTCACCTGCTTGGGGGGGGGGGGGGACAAGTGACAGGGGAAGGAGCCTGGGCTGGTATACTCTGCAGGTGCAGGCTGAGCCAGCGGGGTGCATCTGGGGGCTTCCCTGAGGTGAGGATGTGCAGGCAGGTGGACAGGAGACAGGAAAGACCTGGGTGGGGGAGGGGAAGAGCGAGGCATCCTGACACATCATGTCCTGTGTGTGGAGGACCCCGGGGGAGTGTGGCTGTGCACGGGCGGTGGGAGATGAGGCCAGGGCTGTGACTGCTAAGGTGACTTATGTGGAATGCAGGGCATGTGTGTGTGTGTGTGTGTAGTGGAGGGAGAGGTTTTCCAAGACTGTTCACTTCCGCATGTGTCCCCTGGGCACCTGCTACGTGTTGACTCTTCTAGCTGCTTAGGCAGATGGCCACCAGAGGCCATGGAGCAGACAGGGTGGGGAGGAAGGCGTGGGGATTGTTGGGGTTGCAGCTGGGGGAGGGATTCCTATTTATTTATTTATTATTTTTATTGCAAAATCAGATATACAGAGAGGAGGAGAGACAGATCTTCTGTCCAATGATTTACTCCCCTGTGCCTGTCCAAAGCCAGGAGTCAGGAACTTCTTCCAGGTCTCCCACACGGGTGCAGGGTCTCAAGGCTTTGGGCCATTCTTGACCACTTTCCCAGGCCGCAAGCAGGGAGCTGGATGGGAAGTAGAGCTGCCGGGATTAGAACCGGCGTCCATAAGGCCACAAGCAGGGAGCTGGATGGGAAGAGGGGCTGCTGGTATTAGAACCGGTCGGTGTCCATATGGGATACCCGGCGCATTCAAGGCGAGGACTTTAGCTGCTAGGCTTCTGCACTGGGCCCATGTCTCCACCTCTTAAATAAAGTCAATCAATCATTTAAAAAGAAGAACTAGGAGCGGAGAGTGGGAGACGAGCATTCTATGTGGAGGGATGGCGTGAGGAAGTCATACGTCCAGCACTGACTGGGATACAGCAGGTGTGTCTCCGAGACAAGAGGACTAGTCAGAAGAGCTGGCTCAGGCACACAGGGCAGTGACCATGACCCACAGCAGCACTGAGCAGGCTGAAGGCCCTGGGTGCCTGTCACAGGATTTATTATTTTAAAGGTGGAGTGGCAGAGAGAAAGATGGGCAGGGAAAGGGAGACATTTTCTTATTTGCTACTTCTTGCCCCAGATGGCCATATCAGCCAGGACTGGGCCATGCCGAAGCCAGGCACTCTATCTGGCTCTCACGTGTGCCTGCAGGAACCCAAGTGCTTGGGCCCCAGTTTCTCAAGTACTTTAGCAGGGAGCTGGATCAGAAGTGGAGTAGCTGGGACTCAAACTGGTGGTACTCAATATGTGATGTCAGCATCCCAAGCAGTGGCTTAATATCTGCTGCTTCACAATGCCACTGATTCTGAATGCATTTTCTGTTCCATTTAAAACTATTTTGGGCCCGGCATGGTGGCCTAGTGGCTGAAGTCCTTGCCTTCAACATACCAGGATCCCATATGTGCGCCGGTTCTAATCCTGGAGGCCTCTCTTCCCATCCAGCTCCCTGCTTGTGGCCTGGGAAAGCAGTTGAGAACGGCCCAAAGCCTTAGGACCCTGCACCCATGTGGGAGACCTGGAAGAGGATCCGGACTCCTGGCTTTGGATCAGCTCAGCACCGGCCATTGTGGTCACTTGGGGAGTGAATCATTGGACACAAGATCTTCCTCTTTGTCTCTCCTCCTCTCTCTATATATCTGACTTTGCAATAAATAGTTCTTAAAAAAACAACCTTTTCATTGTATTTATTTTTCGTTGAAAGAGATAAACAGAGATATCCTTGTGCTGGTTCACATCCCAAATGTCCACAGACAGCAAGAGCTAAGCCAGGCCAAAGCCAGCCACAAGCCTGGACCTGAATCCAGCTGTTTGCAAAGATGGGGGAGGAGGCTACAGGAGGGGCAGCCAGCCAGGATCTGGGGGTCTGGCAAGTTCATTTCGAGTGCCTGTTAGACAGCCCAGTGGCCAGAGCTAGAAGTTGGTCAGTGGCCTGTGTTGTTAGGACTTAGGGTCTAGACAGGTGGCTTTCCAAGCAAGGAAAAGGATGCCCTCTTGTGGCGACATGGAGCATTGCTGGAAGGCTGTGTCCATGGGAGCAAGACCAGGTGGGATTTCCCCCACCCAGTGAGTGAACTCACTCCCTGGGATGTCCACAACCCATATCCCAGCATCTAGGACCAAGTCCTGCCTCTGGTTCCGGTTGAGCTCCCTGCTAAGGCACCTGACACCCCGAGGGCCCAGGTAGATATTCCTGGGGTTCTGGGAGTCAGGGAGGAAATTTGGCTAGGGAGGAAAGTTGCAAGTCCATATTCTAGGACTTGGGATCAGGAGCCTGGGAGGTGACCAAGGCCTGACAGTGCTCCTGCAATGCTCCCTGACAAGTGCGGGATGCACGGAAACATGGAATGGGAAGCATGGCAGGGGTCGCAGCACTGAACATGGCTACACTAGAGCTCTGGCCTCTCTGACTCCTGTGGAAGAGTCCTGGAGGGGAAGCCAGGCACTGGGGAAGGGGCTGGCCATTGCTTGGAAGCCTGGGGGTTGAGCCCAGGGCCCAGGAGCCCTGCTGCTGCTAGCTGCTGCCACCTGCTGGGCCAGAGAGAGACACTGCCCAGGGACAGGAGTGGGGGAGGAAGGGGCTGTCCGAATCTGAGCTGGTCCTGGGTGGGTTGGGGAGCAGTGGTAGCAGGTGTGTGTGAGTGTGTGGGGCGGGAGCAGCCAGTGTTGAGGGCTGAGTTGAAGCACTCAGCCCACTAGATACAATCTTGTTTCTTAGCCTCTTGGAGGACACAATTTCCCTTTGCGTGGGTTCTGTCGCCAGGGTACTTGGGGGAGGCAGGGAGGAGACATTGAGCACATCTTGGGAATATTAAGATCAGGAGTACACGTGCAGTGGGGCTGGAGATTTGAGATGTTGGGAGGAACATGCCAGGAACAAACTTTTCCTTCTGATTTTAGCTGGTGTGAGAGGATGATGCTACGTGCGGAGGTCCCCACCAAGACAGCTTCTGGCTAGGGGTGGGGGACCGACCCCTGCTCATTCCCTCCTGTGCTGCATGGGCAGAGTGCCCCTGGGAGTGGAGCAAGGCGTGCGTGTGTGTGTGTGTGTGTGTGTGTGTCCCCACACCTATAGGGAGCAGCTGAGGGCTCCCAGGTGGCAGGAGGCGGGCAGAGGCACCTGCTTCCTGCTGGGGGTGGGGCCTTCCAGGGAAGGCCTCACCCTGAAGGGAGGGCAAAGGGCCCTGTCCTCTGCCTGCCCCACCCCACTGTCAAGAGTCCCAGGCACCAGGCCTATCTCTGTCCCTGGCCCTTCGTGGGTGGTAAGTGTCTTTCTAAAGCCACCCACTGTGTCACTTCCAGGGGGGAGACTGGCTGAAGGCCCTCTTCTGTATTTGGGGGTTCTTACTGCCTGTTTTCAGACAAGGTACTGGCCACGTGGGCCACCTCCACAGCTGGACCCACGTCCCCCTGTTCTGAGCTGGCTGCTTAAGGAACAAGTGCGAGGTGGGGAGGGGGACTTAGCCCCTTCCCTCCTGACATCAGCATCGAGGCCAAGGTCAAAGGGCGAGTGGACACTTCACTCCAGCAAGCCCCAGCCTCCTCACCTGACACCCTGCAACAGAGACCGGAACCCCAAGCGGCTAGAGCACTGGGGGAAGCCCAGACTGCGCCTTCCCTGGACCAAGTCCTCCAGGAGCGGGATGAAGCCATTGCCAAGTAAGGGGACTGCCGGTGGGAGGCAAGAGGGTGGCAAAGGGCCTGGGTGGTGGGAGAAGTGGGGGGACAGAGCCCAGTCCTGCCAGAGGAGGGGAGGGAGGGGGTGGCCAGGCTTTTGGGAAGACAGAGTTGTCTCAGAGGCAGCAGCTATATGCTGCCACACCTGCCCAGCCCCAGGGCCGGGAGCCTCAGGACATTGTCCCTGCCACCTGACATTTGCAGGAAGCAGGCCCTGCAGGTTGAGCTGGACTTGTGCAAGGCCAGGCTACGTGCAGTGGAGGCCCAGCTGCTGGAGGTTCTGGAGGACAAACTGAGGCTTAAACAGGAAGTGGAGGCCTGGGAGGTAGGAGGACTGCCCGTGGGTCCCGGGGGGAGAGATGGGGACACAGGCAGGGGGTCGGCCTTGAACCTTCTCTCCTGCCCTCCAGGATGACATGCAGCAGCTGGTGAGGCAGCAGGTCCAGAGGCAGCTACAGTGCGAGTCCAGGAGCGTCCATGGGGACCCCAAAACGGCCAGGAAGCCTTGGACTGGCCTCTCCCTGGGTCAGTGGGGGCCCTGGCGGTGACAGAGCTGGGCAGGAAACCCCCGGGAGCTCGGTCTTTATTCATTAAAACTGTAATCAACTCCATGTCCTTGTATCCTCTCACTGCCTGCCTTGTCTGCCCGCCAACCCGAGTCTTTCCATGCCAGGTCAGGGAGCAGCAGGCTGTGGCCCCTGAGGGGTAAGGCAAGGAGGCTCCATCAGGCCAGGAATCCCCTCATGGCGGCCAGGAAGTCCTGTGGGCAGTCGGCGTGTACCCAGTGTCCGGCGTGAGGGACAGTCTGTAGCTGGGCCCGAGGGAACAGACGCCGGATTTCGGCGTGGTGATTGGGGCTGTCCAGGGCAGAGACGGGGCCACCGTGACGATGAGCAGGTGGAGGGAAACACAGGGAGGCAGAGTGGGAACAAATGAATGACAGGTGAGGTCACAGGTTCCCAAACCCTGTTCCCCCAACCCCCTTCCCAGTCCCAGGCAGGCGAGTCCCTTCCATCCCCCACCTCACCCCATCACCACACAGGCTGGCTTACAGTACAAACTGGGAGTTTCCGCCAATCAGGAAGAGGGTCTGTCCAGGGTAGGGGTCCTGCTGGGATGGGAAGGCCATGATCTTGTCCAGGTGCTGATCCAGTGCATCCAAGTTCACCCTCCACACGGAGCGTCCATCCGCCTCCACCAGGTTGGTGAGCAGGAACTTGCGCACAGCCACATCCTGTCCAGGACCCAGGGGTGGCGTGAGTCTGCGTGAGGCCCAGACTCTTGCCAATCCCCCGCCCCCCGACAGATGCCTGGTCTCCTGGGGTGGGGGACATCACCTGGACAGTGGAGCTGAGCTGCTCGTCAGCCAGCTTGCGGGCATGGGAGTGTGGCACCTGGCCTGGGAGGTCCACGGCCCTCATGGCTGCAAAGTAGGCTCTGAAGTCCCAGACAGACGTGGTTTCCACTGGGCTGATGTCCACGGCCACCAGACGGTCCACGAGCTCCGGCTGCAGAAGAGACTGGGATTAGGGACAGGTTTTGGGGTGGGGGTAGGGGTGGGAGTGGGGGGCCCTCGAGGTGTCAGGTACGGCTTTGGAGCCTGAACTTGGCTGGCCATCTGGCTAGCTTCAGGAGCTCACACCGGCCTGGAGGTGGCTCACCTTCTGTAGGGCCAGTAGCATGGCTGTCTTGCCTCCCATGCTGTGGCCAACCAGGACACAGGGTGCCAAGCCCAGCTGGGGCAGCAGGCCTTGCAGGTCCTGGCTCATGGCCTCATAGCTCATGTCTGGGCTGTGGGGGCTGTTGCCATGGTTCCGTGCATCCACTGTCAGCACCTGTGGATGACGGTAGGGTGTGTTGGGAGGGTTGAGCAGGTCCTGGTTGGCATTCACCTGCTGAGGGTGGCCACTCATGACCTGACAACGGAACTGCAAGTTGAGACGGACAGTTCCTGGGGAGGGGACGGACAAGAGGCAGCTATGGGAGGCCCAGGTGAAAAGCTGGGACACTGGATTCAAGAAGGCCCAGGAGCTCATGGCTCACAGCAGGGCTGGCTTGAGGGCTACAACATCTCCTAAGGATAACCAGGGAGGAGTCCCGGTAGAATTTCCAGCAGCATGAGCCACTCTGAGAGTTGGGGGACTCCCTGTCAGCCCTGGTGAAGAGAAAGGGGTTGCCCCACCACCCCTGCCTTGCTAGGCCACCCAGTTCTGCCCTGGGAGAGGACTAGGCGGCTGGCAGCATGAGGGGCTTGGGTCCCTGGATCTGGCCCTCTAGTTCCGTCCCTGTTGGCCTCGGGGGGCGGTCTCCACACCAGAAACTGGCCATTGCTCAGCCCAGCCTAGGGATGAAGGGGACCTCACCTGCCCCTTTCCCATCCGAGGCTCACCCTTCGGCCCGTCTGCTGGGCCAAGGCCTTGGCGACGGAGTTGAAGTTGGTTTTGCTGCCCAAGAGCCCATGCAGCATGACGATGGCCGGCCTCCCCGCATCCCCGTCCAGTAGGTTGTAGGACAGCGGCAGCGGCCTTCAGCGGGAGGATGGGGAGAGGGTCAGAGCTCAGGGAGGGGACATGGGGAGGAGGGGGCATGCAGCGGAGGGGTGGGTCTCAGGGAAGGGGAGGAGACGGTCACCCACGTGGCGCCCTTGACTGACCTCGGCTGGGCGCCGCTGCCGCTGAGGGATGCCACAGGCCACCTCGAGAGGACATGTCTGCAGGGCTTGAGCGCCCCACGCGGGAGCGTCCACGCTCGGGCCGCGCAGAGCATGTCCGCAACCGCTCCCTGCCCGGGCGTGCACCTTACAAAGCAGCACATCCGTTCCATCGGCGGCCTCCGCGCGACCCCGCCCACCTTCCTCTGGAGCTCCGCCCCCCGTCGCCGAGTCCCCGCCCCGGCGGCACGTCGTCTACGTCATCCCATCCCGATCCCCGCCCCGCTTCGTGCGCCATACGTAATCCCCTGCTACGCCTGCCACGCCCTGGGCGGAGCCAACCGGGACTCTGGGTCCTCCTCGAGACCCTGGCTCCGCCCTGAGACTCTGCTTCCGCCCCGACTCTGGCTCCGCCCCTTCCGCCTCTCCAAGCCGCGCGTCACCCCGCCCCTTCCGCCGTCAACACTGAGCTCAGACTCTCGGTTGAGGCTTGGCAGGGTTCCCCGGCTGCGGCGCTGCAGGCTCTGCGGTGGCTCCTTGTCTGTCCTCTCGCACGGCGCTTCTTGGGTGCCGGGCGCCAGGAGCGGCCCTTGTCCAGCCTGGTGGTGCCAAGCTCGGCGGCTGGGAGGCCCAGGCAGGCCGGCTGGAGCTCGGGCACCCCCATGTATATCCTCACCCTAAAGGCCGCGGCCGGATCAGCTTCTCCGTTTTTCGGAGCTCAGCACACACCCCGCAGGCAGTTTGCTGCTTTTGGCAGTTGCCTCCGTGGCGGCAGCGAGCACTGCAGTCCGTGGTGTTTGTACCCCACCCGGACGCTGAGCCACCTGCAGCCCACAACACGTAGACTGGGCAGGTCGGCCTCTGGCAGGTTGGGCTTCTTCCACGTCTCCCATGTGGGTCCCATGCAGGGTCCCAAGGCGCTGGGCCATCCTCGACTGCTTTCCCAGGCCACAAGCAGGGAGCTGGATGGGAAGTGGGGCTGCCGGGACTAGAACCAGTGCCTGTACAGGGTGCCAGTGCTTGCAAGGTGAGGATTTACCCATTGAGCCATTGTGCTAGGCCCAAGGTGACCAAGTTTAACGAAAAGAACACACCTGGCCCGGCCAGGAGGGCATCCCAGCAGGGAGGGCTGAGCACTGCACCCCGGAAATGCCAGGCGATGTCTCAGGAGAGAATTGTGAGCATGGTCTGCATTCAGATAGAGGCTCCTCAGGGCATGGGGTCTAGCTTGTCCCTCCTCTGGTTGGAGGCTTTCCGGGGTGTGGAATAGTCAGACGGAGTACCTTCCAAGGTTTTATTACTCTGTGTTATCAGCTCGGGTAGCCTTCTTGGCGCCTGGCAAAGAAAATTTTCTTGGGGCCCGGCACGTTAGCCTAGCGGCTAAAGTCCTCGCCTTGAAAGCACTCAGATTCCATATGGGTGCCAGTTTGTGTGCTGGAGGCCCCACTTCCCATCTAGCTCCCTGTGCATGTGGCCTGGGAAAGCGTTTGAAGATGGTGCCATGCTTTGGGACCTCACACCCAGGTATGAGACCTGGAAGATGTTCTTGGCTCCTGGCTTCCAATTGGCTCAGCTCCAGCCATTGCAGCCACTTGGAGAGTGAATCAATGGACAGAAGATCTTCCACTGTCTCTTTTTTTCTCTGTATATCTCACTTTCCAATAAAAATGAGATCAATATTTTAAAAAAATTCTCTGCTTTGGGCCCGGCGGCGTGGCCTAGCAGCTAAAGTTCTCACCTTGAATGCACCACAGGGATCCCATATGGGTGCCGGTTCTAATCCCGGCAGCCCCGCTTCCCATCCAGCTCCCTGCTTGTGACCTGAGAAAGCAGTCCAGTTGAGGACAGCCCAAGGCTTTGGGACCCCACCTGTGTGGGATACCCGGAAGAAGTTCCTGGATCCTGGCTTCAATCAGCATAGCATCGGCCGTTGTGCTCACTTGGGGAGTGAATCATCAGACAGAAGATCTTCCTCTCTGCCTCTCCTCCTCTCTGTATATCTGACTTTCCAATAAAATAAATAAATCTTTTTTAAAAAAATCATCAAACTATTTTTTAAAAAAAGTAATAAAAAAAATTTCTGCCTAACTATTTTCTTGGATGGAAGACTGGGTGGGCCCAGCTGTAGGCGTGGCCAGGACATTGTAAATGTTACATACAGGACATGTATAAGGGCCACTATGGTGGTATTGTAGGCTAATCTGCATCTGGTGCTGGCATCCCATATGGGCACCGGTGCAAGTACCAGCTGCTTAACTTGTGTTTCAGCTCTTTGTTAATGGCCCGGGAAAGCAGCAGAGGGTGGCCCAATAACTTGGGCTCTGTACCTGTATGGGAGACGCGGTGGATGGTCCTTGCTTCTGGCTTCGGATCAGCCCAGCTTTGGCTGTTGCTGCCCGTTTGAGAAGTGAATCAGCCTTTCAAATAAACAAAATACTGCACTGCTTCTGAGGCTGCTAAGTTCCCTTCTGCAGGCCTTTTCCCCACTAGGATTTTGTTACCACACACACTGGCTAATTTCTGACTTCTTCCCTAGCAGAGGCAGCTTTAAAAAAAAAAATTATGAACTCCTTTTTCTGGACTCAATCTTTGCAGGTGAGCATAAGAACCATGACAAAATGGTGGTGGTGAGGGGGTGTCTGGTGTGGTGGCTTAGCAGGCAAAGTCCTCGGCTTGAATGTGCTGGGATCCCATATGAGCACTGGGTCCTGGTGGCCCTGCTTCCCATCCAGCTCCCTGCTTGTGACTTGAGAAAGCAGTCAAGGACGGCCCAAAGCCCTGGGACCCTGTACCTGCATGGGAGACCCAGAGGAAGCTCCTGGCTCCTGGCTTCGGATAGACTCATCGCCAGCAGTTGTGGCCATTTGGGGAGTGAATCAGCAGATGAAAGATCTTCCTCTCTGTGTCTCCTCCTCTCCGTAAATCTGACGTACCAATGAAAAAGATAAATAAATCTTTAAAAATAGTTAAGAAGGAAAGAAAATTTTACTATTATTTTTAAAGATTTATTTATTTTTATTGGAAGGGCAGATATACAGAGAGGAAGAGCTTCCATCAGATGGTTCACTCCCCAAGTGGCTGCAATGGCTGGAGCTAAGCCAATCCGAAGCCAGGAGCCTCTTCCCAGTCTCCCACACAGGTGCATGGTCCCAAGGCTTTGGGCTGTCCTCCACTGCTTTCCCAGGCCGGAAGCAGGGAGCTGGATGGGAAGCGGGCTGCCGGGGTTAGAACCGGCACCCATATGGGATTCTGGCGCATTCAAGGTGAGGACTTTAACCACTACACTATCACGCCGGCCCCCCAAAAGGAAAATTTATTCAACACCTGGGGCTGGAGCAGGGTGCTCACAGTGCCATGACGCCAGTTCTGACAATCTTTCATCTGTCAGTTCACTCCCCAAATATTCACAATAGCCAGGGTTGGATCAAGCCAAAGCCACCAGCCTGGACCTCAGTCCAGGTCTCCCGTGGGGTTGTAGGGACATCTGTTCTTGAGGTGTTCCTGGAAATGGCCCGATCAGGGGTTCTTGGGTTTGCATAAGGGAGAATTCAGACAGAAGGCAGCAGCAGGCGAGGTGGTCATGTTTCATGAATATCGCAGTGCGTCTGTTAAGCCAGATGGGCATCTGGAAAAGATGCATAGCCCAGTTTGCACCCAGGCTGGAGTTGCTATGGACACGAGTAGGAGCTCCCCCTGCTGCTTCTTCCCCTCCCCTCTCTTCTGGGAAATGGTGTGTGGGAGGGATTTCTGCATGTGGAGTTCTCAGAAATCCTCCCAGGACCTTAATTGCTCTATGTTATTGGAGTCTAGAGGCACCCCGCCCCCCCCACTTGGTGCAGGGCAGAGGGACTCTACCTCCCTGCCCCCACTAGCTGCCCCCAGGGAAAGTGCTGGGCCCTATTTAGCAGGGCCAGAGAGTAAGAACAGACTAGCAGCAGAACCTGGACTTGAACCCAAGCCTTGAGAGGCCAAGCAGGTGTCCCCAGGGCCCACCCTCAGAGTTACATTGTAGCAGTTTTACTGACTCATCATCAAGGACTTCCAGGTATTCACAAATGCAGCTCTAACCTGCTAGCTGGGTTGGTGGGCCCCTTCCAGCCTAGAACACCTGTCTCAGCAGTTTACCAGTCCTTAACTCTCCTGCTGTGGGCCCCAGGGAGTGCCCTAATTCCCAGGGGTCATCTCCTTGCCAAAGAGGAAAGACTTGGCTGGTGTCTTGTTTTAATTTGAGGCAGGTCCCTGGCGAGAGCGCACATCAGATGGTGTGCTCCCCTGTAACTCTTGTAATCATCAGAAAGCTAGAAGTACAGCAGGGTTGGGGGGAAGGGAGGAATATGATGTGTGTGTGTGTATAGGGGGGCTGGTGTGAACCCCAGAAGGGGTCAGTCCTCTCTGGAGGCTGTTATTTTAGGGTTGATGGCAGGGAAGTGGAAGGATTTGGAGGCAGATGGGTGCCTCAAAGGGAGGCATTTCAAACGAATCCTCCGACAACCAACAGCCAACAGCCACCCCTCAACCCGCTGCTGTCCTTCTCTCCCAAGCCCTTCATCTGGGTAACCTGAGCCTGGCCCAGGTCCAGAAGCCACAGGATTTGAGGTATTTACGCAGAGCCCCGGGCCCTTGGGGCTGGGCCTAGTAAGCCGAAAAACCAGTTAGCTCGAGGTTTTCCCTAGAACATTCCAGAGAAAGTGGTGGGTGGGGGGTGACGTGTTGGGGAGTGGTCATTTGCCAGCATGTTAGGAAACCCTCAGGTGGCTGTGCTGGTCTGGTGGAGGGTGGGGTGGAGGGTGTCTAGACCAGCCCCGTTCCCCAGGCCCCGAGGTCAAGTTCTCAGCGCCGGGTGGCGTGGGGAGGAGCCATCTTTGTTTTCCTGTAGAGGAAGGCGTGTGTCCACGCAGCCACCTCCAGCGCGGCGCTCTCAGACGTCGTCTCCGCGCCGTCCTCGGGGCTGGAGCCAAAGGGGGAGTGACCTGCGGCGGGCGGCGAACGGGTTAAGGCGGGGAGGCGGCGCGCGGCCCACAGCCGCACCTGGCTCAGTATCGGTCACGTGGCCGGGGTTTCACCTGCCCCGCTGAGCAGGGACAATCGCGCAGCTTGTTTCCGAGGCCGGTCGCCATGGCGACAGGCGTGCGC